GGGGGGGGCGGCCACTCCCCACTCCCCTAACCGGCCCTTCATACAATTTCCGAAACCCAATATGGCCCTGAGGCCAAAAAGTTTGCCCGCCCCTGTCTTAAGACAGACCAGCCCAGACCCCTCTGATCCATCCCCCGGCGCAGACCTAAGAAGTGGCTCACCCTGGATTCTGTAGACGTAATATGCGTCAGAGTCCACCTCCCGCTCGCCCAGCATTGCCCTGCAGATGTAGGTCTTGTCTTCGAAGAACCCCGTGAAGCCTTGTTGCCTGTCATAGACCACGGGAATTGGGTTCTCCACCTTCTTCTCATAGAGAGTCACCGTGGTCTGGGGGTCAGTCACACGGCACGGGATGGTGGCCTCGCTGTCGCCGGTGATGAAGATGAATGGTTCCTCAGGGCCTGTGGGGAGGAAGACGATGGACGGGTCTGCAGAAGGGAAAGGGGAAAGGCAATCCGGTTACAAGAGACAGGAGAAGAACTTGCTTTGCAGCCCTGATTGCAACTGCCCACTAGCCACGGGATAGGACAACACCTCTGCTTGGAGACGGATGCGCTGAACTCCCACGACGTTTCTCTCCCGAAGCTGCTGGGGTTATTACTAGGGACACGTCCCATCGGGGCTGCGTGCCTTGTTCCCCAAGATGCGAGTTTCACTCACTTTTTCTTTCCAATGATCCTCTCCCACCTGGGGCCCTTAACCTGGGGGCACTATACTTCTAGCGGTCTGCACCAGGCCCCTGCGCTGGGGTGGGGGGCTGCAGGGGCACTTCGATGCAGATAGGCCACTCCAGCCTCCCACGCATGTCGCTCCCCCCAGCCCTACTGCAGAGCAGAGGAACCCCCCTCTACCATCTTCAAATTCAGCCCCATCCTTCCACTGGCCTCCATCCTCTGAGATGCACGCAGAGAGGGGATGGGGGTGCTCTGTCCCCTACCTGGCACAAAGACATAGACGGCCTGTCTCTCCGCGTGCTTCTGGTTCTGGGATTGGTTGTAGGTGCAGACGTACTCCCCCGTGTCATTGCCTGTCACATTCCAGAGCGTGAGCGTGCTGGAGAAGGTGCCGTCTCTCCACTCCAGCGGCGCGGCTATGGGCTGCATGTCTCGTTCCCAGACCACCTCGGCCTCCCCCGAGCACGTCAGTGAGAAGTTGCTCCAGAGACTGAGGACGACTTCGGGGTCGCTGGGTGAAATGTGCAGTTTGCTGCTTCGAGACACCACGACTGGCAAACCTAGGAGAGGGCATAGGGAGTAAACCAGAGGGGGGCAATGGAGCCCCTCAGTGGGGGCTGGATCAGGACCTAGAGCAGGAGTATTGGGTTTGTAAGGTTAAGTAACCTGTTGTGGCATTCAGGAATGAACCCACGGCTCCATCCATCACTACGAACCGTTGCCACCATTTGCTGAGATCCATACAGCAACATGGGAGCTCCCTCTGCTGGCATCACCGCAGCTGTTAATACACACACACGCTGGCTGCTGCCACCCGGCCTGGGGTTTTCAGAACCGACCAGGGTATTTAGACACACAACTCCTGTTCATTTGATTGAGAGCGTGTGTCAAAATCCTCTAGCTGGCTTCAGAACCCCGCCCCCCCCAGCCATTCACGTTTTGAATGGAGCTCCCACATCTGCAAGCACACACCTGTCATACCAGCCATCAGCAATAACCATACCATCCGAATGAATACTTCCCTCTGGGGATCTCAAAGCTCATTACCCTCTTTAATGCATTTAGCCTCCCAGCAACACTAGGAGGTAGATACGTTTTATTATCCCCATTTACAGATGGGAAAACTGAGGCCCAGCATGAATAGAACCCAGGTCCTCCCGACTCCCAGTGTTGCGCTGTACCTAAATGACCGCCTCCCATGTGTATGAGGTAACGGTGCACCCCAAGGGGCTGTAGAGCTCAGTTTTCACGTGCAAATTCCGGATGAGAAGGTACAGCCGATGAGTGTGCAAACTGTCCGGGTATGAGTCAGGCGCCAGCCTTTGAAAACTTGGATGCTAAAAGTTTGTGCACTGAGCCAACTTCATCATATTACGGCGTGATGCCTTTACACCTGCCCTCGGGGTCTTGGTTGGGTGGGGGGGAAGTCTTTTGGGGTGGACAGTGCTGTGAGAATCTGGCCAGGTGGCAGCCGGAGGGCCCCTCACAGCCTGCTGAGAGCCGGGCTTCCTATGAATCCCCTTGCTCTGGTTTATTTGCCCCAGAAATGCTGAGTCCAAGAGCTGCATTTATAGCCAACAGTGCACGTGCCACAGAAATGACCCTGGCTCTGCTGCAATTTTGCCCCACTCCCTCCTCACTGAGGGTCTCAGATGCATATTCTGAAGGCCCAGAAGGGAACCACGTTAGCTGTGACAGCTGGACCGCTCGGGAGCTCCCTCCCCGTCGGCTTTGTTCCCACGGGGCCGTGTAGGAAGAGACATGGAGGACCATGTTGTTTCAAAAATAAAAAAGAGGAGCAAAAATAAACCTTCCAGGAAATCCCTTGGAAGCGATACAGAAGGCAACTTCTTCCTGAATTGCTTCCTGTGCCACTCCCTGTCAACTCTTCCTAGCTGCGCTCTTTGCTCAGACTCACACTTGTCCCTGGCGGAAGGAGCACCCTGGAATTGGAGGGCACACACAGGATTCCACCCAGCGCCCTCCCACCCAGGGCTGGGGTGCAGCTGAGGTGAGGTCCCAGGCTGAGCTACAAGCACCTCACCGGCCCAGAGCAGTGAAGAGCGAGAACAATTTTTGAAGCCAAGTTTTTGCCCTATTGTGCATGTACCTGGGAGGGGAGATTCGGTGAGCCGGGGAGCCTGGAGCAAATGACTTTGGGGATATCTGCCTCATCCCCTGCGTGCGATGGCAGCTGAGTCCTGACTCAGCTTCTAAGAATTGTTCATCCCTAGGCTGGCAGAGCACCCCAAAGATGAGACAGGCGTGTAGCCCCTGGAATCCTCCTCGCGACACAGCTCACATGCATCAAAGCCCCGTAGAAGAAGGAAATTAGGCCCCGATTTGGACCAGTAATGTGTGACACTAGCCCTTTAAATACGGATGATAGTGTGAGTGTTTGTCTGCCTGTTGGGGTGTGTGTGTGGATGTCTATGCATAGGACGGTGGGTGCACAGGTGTGTGTGTTCATCCCAGCCCCACTGCCCCCTGTCGCCCCGTTCATTCTGCCCCCATAGCAGGAAGCGTCCTTGGGGAATTCACACGTCAGCAAAGAGTCATCCTCACGCTCACCTGCGAGGAAGAGGAGAAGCATCTTCAGAGATGGAAGCAGCATGGCGGGGTTCAGCTGCACTGCAGGCCGCATCCTGTCCAAAGCAACCCAGAATTAGTGCAATGATACCAAGACCAGAAAGGACTCCTGGGTCAGCCCCCATGTCCCTAACTATTCTGTTACCCACCCCCTCTCGCCCCCAGACCAGCTCAGTGCAGCCCCCGGGTGTCTGCGGGCAGCAGGACCTTTTTATTTCATGTTTCCAAGGCATGTGTGCTTGTTTGAGGACGACAACGTTCCAGGCTTGTGGAGTCTACTCCCCTTCTCAAGCCTCCTGTGGTCCCCCTCGCTGAGGGCCCTAACCCCACCATCTGCCCCCAGTCCCCTCTTGAGCACTATCAGGCTGCCGGTGAATACACCAGGCAAAAGGCCCCAGCTTGTTATTCTGACATTCCTTTGGCTGTTGACTCCCCTCTGGTGGATCCTATCCCTAGAGCGTTCTAGAACTTGGAGAAGGGGCAGGGCAGAGGTGGGGCCTCAGTGAAGGGGTGGCGTAGAGGGCCCCCAAAAATGTTTAAATCAAAATGGGGGTCCTTGGGTTGCTAAGGTTTGAGAACCGCTGCACTAGGCCATGGTCCAAAATACCCAGGAGTCTGACCAAACCCTTCCTCCTGCTCTCAGATACAGTACAAGGTTCCCCACTAAAACCCTGGTGGGAAAACTGTCCACAACTCCCTGTGACAGGGAGGAGCCTACATAGACCATCTCACCCCGCATGGCCACTGAATCCAAAACACAGAATGGACACAGAGCATGGAACCCCATTCCTAACGGCAAGCCACCTCCTAGGCACAGCTACCTGATGGATTAACAAGAGGTGGGCCTTGGATCCAGCACCTCTGAACTTTGAGAAAGCTCAGATCCAGACCTGAACTTCACAGTTGCGCCTGATCACTGTAATGGGCTGAACCACCTTTCACCGGTACTACCACCCACCTCGCAAAGCACTGGGGAATGTTGGATCTGGAGTTAATGAAGAGACAAATGCAAAGGCAGCTCTCTGCTTGTGATCTCATTAACAAGGTGACCCCGATCAGGAGTCTCTTTGTCATGCCAGTATCTAAAGAAATAATGCTGTAGCAGTGGCACACAAAATGTTGCCGACTCTGGCTCTAGGTACTGCACCGAGACGTTGCATCTTGTCCCTGCGGTTGTGCCTGTGTCTGCTTGGCGTGAGAGGGAAATGGTTTTGAAATGACGTGCAGTCATCCACTGGTTTTGTTATTCTCTCGCTTTGGCTTGAAAAGAACTGATTTACCAGCAAATCCTGCCAGGTTGCTGACTTATTCAGCAACTTTCCCTAAAGCTTTATTTTTCTTTCTTTCCTGCTTTTTCAGAGGTATATTTCCCAGAGAGCGAGTCAGTGCACTTAGGGTATGTCTACACAGCAAAGAAAACCCCATGTCCGGCCCAGGCAGCCAACTCAGGCTCACGGAGCTCGGGCTGTTGGGCTGTTTCATTGCTGTGTCGACTTCTGGGTTCAAGCCGAGGCCCAGGCTCTAGGCGCCTGTAGGTTGGGAGTGCCCAGAGCGCTCCAGCCTGAAATCTATACAGCAATGAAACAGCCCCACCGCTGGCACCACGAGAGCCCAAGCCCCCAGAGCCCCAGTCGTCTGGGTTTTTCTTTGCTAGTAGACACACCTCTGTGGAGAAGAGTGAGATGTTGCTTAGGCTGCCAACTTCTGTAAGATCACTAGTCAAGTCCTCCAAGAATCTTGCCCTAATCCTGCAGCAGAGAGGGGATAGAGAGATCGCTAGCTAGCCATCTTTATATTTCTTAACTGCGCAGTAAAGGCAAAAACAAACAACAATTGGTTTTGTTCCACAATCCACCTTCGACAAGGTGTGTTACTCAGATTTTAAGGCCAGAAGGGACCATTATGATCACCTAGTCTGGCCTCCTGTGTTAGACAGGGCCCAATCTATGCACTGACCCCATAACTTCTGTTTGAGCTAAGGCAGCTCTTTTAGAAAGACATCCAGTCTTGATTTAAAGAGGATCTAAAGACTATCACTATTAACCTCACCTGGGGCCCGACTTTGATCCCCATCCCTCATGCTGAGTAGTACTTTACTCCGTGAGTATTCCCTTTGATTGCAATGGGGGTCACTCATGGCGTGAGGTACCACTTGCTACTTGACCCAGAATCATAGAAGTGTAGGGTAGGAAGGGACCTTGAGAGGTCATCTAGTCCAGCCCCCAGTGCTGAGGCAGGAGCAAGTAAACCTAGAGCGTCCCTGACACATGTTTGTCGAACCCATTCTGAAAAACCTCCAATCACGGGGAGTCCACAACCTCCCATGGTAACTTATTTCAGTTCTTAACTATCCTTAGAGTTAGGACGTTTTTCCTAATATCTCACCTAAATCTCCCTTGCTGCAAATTAAGCCCATTACTTCTTATTCTACCTTCAGGGACATGAATGGGACAATTACCTCCCATGTCTTGCATACCACACTCCTGTTTATATGTCCCAGAATGATAATCAGCCTTTTTTGCAACTCCATCACATTGCGGGCTCATATTCAGTTGGTGATCCACTATCACCCCCACATCCTTTTCTGCAGTACTATCCCCTAGCCAGCTATTCGCCAGGTTGTAATTGTGCATTTGATTCTGCCATCCTAAGTGTAGTACTTTGCACTTGTCTTTACTGAATGAACATTGTTGATTTCAGAACAATTCTCCAATGCATCAAGGTCCTAATCCTGTCCTCCAAAGTGCTTGCAGCCTCTCCCAGCGTGGTGTCAGCACACATTTGGGTTCTCAAAAGAAATTTTCTGGTGGCCTCAGAGCGTGGCCATCAACTCTGGCTGGTGGACGCTCTGACAATTTTTCCTAAAACACTTAATTAACTTTAGGAAAAACAAATAAATATGCACGTATCCATGTCCAAATCATTGTGATTTATTTATGTAGAGTTTTTTTCAGACTCAATAATAAAAATAATGTACAGTTGTCTCTATTCTTTACTGGACCTAAACAGAATAGAAACAAAATAAGGTGTTTTGCATGTTCTCTTTTGTTGTTGTTGTTTCTTTGGGGGTTTTTTGGTTGCTTTTTTTTTTTTTTAGACTTGCTAGCTAGTAACACTGAAGCAACACCAGTACCATTTGCCCAAAGAGCAGTCGGGACAGCGCAGTCAGCATACGCCTTCTTGTGCCTCTGGCTGCCTTCCTAGCTGGTTTTAATAAACCTGCTGTTTGCGAGAAGGCATTTCCATCGGAGACGCTTCCTGTACGGCGTACAGATGGCGACATCTCCCTGACTGCAGCGACCTCGCCTTTGTATATCCGCTCTGGCAGGGTGAGAGGCGTACACAGACTCTTCCCATCTTACAGGAAATGCTTAATATCGTCTCCAGTTGCTCCACTACACAGCTGGCATGTTCTCCTTGGCCTCGAGGATGGAAAGAAGAGAGGAGGAGACACTGTCGTTGAGGGAGTGTGTTTGGTTTTTATTTACATGGCGCCTTTCTGGAGGATGGAATGTATTTATTATCGAGATTCATCTTGCTGTCACAAAGGTGGCACTCTGTCTTTCTCTCTCTCTCTCTCTCTCACACACACACACACACACACACAGGCTCTCCTACCTAGCCAAAGGCTCCATGACACATGGATCCCATCAAATGTTGTCAGGTTTGACCTCCTCAAACCTAACCCAAATAATTAGCCCCAGACTTTTGCATCTGGAGATGGGAAAGTGTCTCAGGAAGTGGGCGTTGCGGTGGCTTGCAGGACTGCCAGCTCTGGCAGTCCTGCAAGACCCTCGGCTTTCATCGAAACAACAACAAGTTTCTAGCCCGCCTGGTTGCAGAGAAAAGCCTGTTCTCTGATCTGGGGCACGCTAGTTCAGTGTCTGGAGGGCTGTAGCACTTCAGTCTAATCTAGGTTACTGGGCTCCATACAGGGGTGGCCGGGGGTGGGGGTGGGGAAGTTTAGTGGCCTGTGGGTCTGGCGACCCCTTCTGGCCTTGAACTCTGTGACTGTATGAAAAGGCTGCAAATGTGACCCAAGTGTGATGCAAGTGCTCAGAAGGCAGATATAAAGGAATTGCCAGACTAGCTCAGACCTGAGGTCCTAGCCCAGGCCAGCACCAGATGTTCCAAAGTAAGGGACAGCCCTCCCCAGTCAGTAGGCAGATGTGCGGTAATTGCTCCCCATGAATCCCTCATCCTGGCTCCTAATAGAGGGCAATTGCCTCAAGCCCCGGTGCATGAAGTTTCCTATCCCCTCTGCCCTCCAGCTGTGGGGGCAGTTTGGATCAGAACCCTCTTGCCCCGGCCTGGAGCAGCTGAAAGGCTGTTGCCCTCCTCTCCCAGCGCCAGACAGACAACGCTCCACCGAGTGACTCTGCTCCAGGGGGCGTCTTTGGGAATTCCACTGCCACCAGGGCCCCTGGAATGAAATGCTGCGGCCGCCCACCCCAGGGCATGGCTCTCCACACCAACCAGGAGCAGGAGGAAAGAGAGAGTGGGGGGATCCGCTGCCTTGGTTCAGGGCTAAGACACAGCTTTTGCTTCTCTTCCCCCCGCCAACTTGACTCTCCCTGCTAAGCGGGGCACCGGACTCCTTGCATGCTTCCCCGCGGCTTTCCAGCGAGTAGCCTTCCTCCCCTCCCTCATCCCAGCACCCAACGGCGACAGGGTGGGGTTCAAACCAGCCAGACTGGAGTTCTCTAAACGCTGGCAGAGGCCTCCCCCACCCCACACGGGAGATAGACATGGTTCTGGCCATGCCAGTGCTGCCCGGCCTCTCCGCCCCATCTCTGCCCCAGAGGGCTGTGCGAAGGGATCGTTAGCAGCCTGTCAGGGGAGGTTTTCTGAGCTGAACTGTTTATTATTCTAAAAGAGGAATTTGGCTGGGAGAGGAGACGGGAGGTCATTTGGCTCTGGGACGCAGCCCAGGCTGGATTGGAAACGCAGGCCCTTCGCTCACTGAAAGGCACATTGTCAGCTGCTGCTGCCGCACGGGGCTCAGCCCTGCGCTGGCTCCTACAGGCAGCAGCGACAGCAGGAGCTTTCCTCTGCG